GAAATAGTAGTTCAATAAAATTTTGAATACAAGTCAACAAACATGATGACATGGCCTTTGATCCATGACCCATCTGGAGAGGGTTAATAGGCTGCTATATTATTGGACAGTATGTCCAGCAAAATATGAATTCTCTAAAGCATATTGAAACACTGGACAGACTTTTCATTTAAACATTTTATTTTAACATAAAATGAGAACCAGTCACTTCTTTTCCACTTTTAACATTTTGTATGGTATTATCAAATATTTACTTTTCAAAACCCACAAGAATGAGCTGATCCATCATAGATCTTGTGTGAAAAACTTGTAATGTGGATGTGAAAAGCAAGTACTTGTTTTTGGACTTTGCATGCTTTTAAAAACAAACCACAAGTGGTTTAAGGTTACTTGTATTTGAATGTAGGTGTATAATGACCTTTCTTCCAAAGACATTATAAATAGTGTTTCAGCTACATTGCATTATAGGAAGGTGGTGAACTTGTGTATTTATGGTTTAGTTATGATTAATTTTTTGTTGTAATGCATTTTGACTGCTGAATTGTTTCAAAATACCTCTTTTTGTGGAATTTCAGTCTAGTTCATTAGAAAATTTCCCAGTGACCCCCTATAGCCAGTCCACTTCTGTTTTATTCTAAAACAAACAAGATTCCAAATGAAAGTAGCATATTGATTTCTACATTATTACATATATGGAAGACCCTCGGGCATTGAACACAGTTTGAAGAACTTTCACCCCCAAACTCGTGACATCATATGGTGATACTACTTCATAACTCTAATAGATGAAGCAGCTATATTTTCTTGCAAAAAAACAGTCAAATTAAGCATAACTTGTGTTGACAGTCTATTATACTAACAAGCCAATCAGATTATTTTTTTACGTTGTCTTCTAATAATTGAATCAAGAACAGTTGGCAGGTGGATTTTAATTTTTAATACAGTATTCAGTTAATACCCTTGTGCACAAAAGATGTATTTTTGAGTTGTTTTTTTTCTAACT